TAACAGTCTAATTTTTTGGATTAACTTCATCACATTTATCAGAACACTGCTTACACATTAAACAAATACTCTTTATTAACCAGAGATTATATTCTTTAAGCACTTGCTTTATATTCTTTGGTTATTCTTTCAATTAATGATTGTCTGGAAATATCATTAATTATTCAATTTTATTATTATACTCATTAACATATCAATTATTACGCATTATAAGCTACTTTTCTCTAAGGTTTATGTTTATTTTTAATGCAATAAGTATATTAGCTATCATAATATTATGATTTATTGATTGATTAAAGCAAAAAACTCTAATACATCTAGGATACGATATCTCAAATATCATAATTACCTGATGTATTAACTTTATTTATAAATAAAAAGAAACTTTAATATTTTCTTATATTTTTACATAATATAGTACAGTGGCTCATCTGATCTAATATATGTTTTGATTTTCAATATCTATCTACTTGTATAGATCAGAAAACAAAAGTTTTTTTATATTTAATATGAGGATTTGCTTGTGATTATTCGTTAGATAATTGCATTAATCTATAACATAGACAAAGGAAGACTGAAACTATAATAGAATGTTCAATATATTTTGAGTGTAGAATGTTCTCATTCTTTCTCATCCAGATTCTCTATTGCCTATTATTTACATAAAAGTGACATTTATCATGTGTTACTTGTATAAATTCTTTCTCTTCTAGCTTAATTTGTGGTTCTAATATAATATTTAGCATATCACCATTAAAATCTTTCATAGATTTTTTATACATAAACATCCTTTTTAATCACTCCTTCTATATGCCTCAATATTCAACTATTCATATCCATTATAGTAAACTCCTTTCCTTCTTTCATTATATTATATCCCTATAAATGCATATAGTTCTGACAGATTTTTTTAGAAATTGTGTTTTTCTTAATGTATCTGACTAATTTTGAAAATAGTACTTTTTCAATATATATTTTTAGGTTTCTAAGAGAACGGAATTCTAGTATTTATTGCCATATTCAGATTTGGTAATATTTTTTAAAATCCTCATCTTTTAATAAACTTTCTAACTTTTTATATTTTTCTTGATGGTAAATAAGAAGCTCTCCTGTCTCTATAAAATGATTTTTCATTTTTGAATACATCTCATCATATAATTGCCTTTATTCTATATAGTTTGTACAATTCCATTGCTGGTATTTATTTACTTTTCCTATCTAATAATAGCTATATGAATCTGTATATACATAATTATTATAAATAATTATAGGTAAAAAGTTTATTGTTTGCTTTCGTAAATTTTAATGTTATGTATTGATAATTTATTTCTTCTAAATGATTTTGTAGATTTTGTGTAATTTTTAAAGATTGAAATAAAAATTTTAAAGATTTTAAAAATGGTCATAACAATTGTAGTAATTGTGATAATTTTGATATGAACATACTAGTTGATGCTTCAGTACTTCTGAAATATGTATTAAGTGTTTTCATTTCTTTTGCATTATTTTCTAAACTTTCTTTTTCTTTTTTCTCCTTCTAAATTGTAGTTTTTGAAGTTTTGATATATACTACCTTAATGCTTTTTGCAGCATCCTTATACTAATAAAGTGCCTCAGTAATAAGCCTCTTTTTTACTGCTTCAAATTCTCTCAAATTATCTTCCGTTTAGTTTTTAGCAGTTTTGCCTTTTATCTAATTAGCTTTACCTTTTGTTTCATCATTTTTGTCTTTCATCCTAATGGTTTTATCTTTCGTTTCACTTTCTAAAAAAAAAGTTAAATGTTTTTAATGCAACTATATGATAAAATGATATTCTGCATTATATAAAAAAGTTAGAATAATACCAGCTTCATCTCCAATAGTTTTTTCTCATTTAAAAATCTCTTTTGTTAGCTTTTAAAATATGAAACAGCCCTTTTTTTTTTTTTTTTTAGATATTTTGCTTATCTGTTATTATTTTTTTGTTTTTCTAGCATATCGATATTTGTTAATTTTAAGCTAAAATTGATTTAGATCAAAATCAAAAGTCAAAATTTGAATTAAGATATAAGTATAATTAATTATCATAATTTAGACCAGTGCTAAATTATCATAATGTCAGCCTGAATAATGAAAATTTCAACCAATAAAATTATGTTCATGTGATTCAATTTGTTTCAAATTTAAGCTAATCATATGAAAATCACAAGTTTAAATGGATGGCTATAACTTTTTATATAGATCTTTTTTTCAAAAATCTGACTGATAATTTGATAGAACTTATTATAAAGAATAAAGTTACCAGTTATTTATTGTTGAGTATAGACTTCCGGCACTATATTATTATTTATTTTAATTATATTAATTATTAAAAATTTAATATAATTAAATATTTTATTATATTTTTGTTAATTTTTAAGTTTTAAAAAATAAATCTTAAAATATTATTATAGAGTAAAATAACAAATTTATATAAGTAATTATTAATCTTCTAATATGATTTTTTTGTTTTATCAAATTGTAGTTTATATTAATAATCATTAATAATTATAAAAAAAAATTTTAATTGCTCATTTAATTTTAAAATATATTTATATAAAAATACTTATTTTAATCTAATTGACAATAAAAATAAAATATCGAACTCATTTATAAATTCTTGCATTAAGTTTTATATTAAAGTTAATAAGAAAAATAAATACAAATTTGATCAAGTTATTTATCATACTACTTAGCTAATCTCAATTATATGAATATAACTATAAATAAATAATAATAAATTTAGCTACTCAACTTGATCTAGCAATTAAATAATTCAGATTTAGTAATATCAGATTTATTTTATAATATTACAATTTGTATTCACTATTATTTCGAGATATAGTCAGTCACACATTATATAATCACAATCTTTATAACTAAATAATTTCGTGCTGCGGCGCAGTAAATCTGATTTGAATTAGGGAACAATGGCCAAATAATCCGACAAAAACTTCACCATTTTTTACATGGTGTTTGTTTGAATTGGGGTAATTGTTGAGCGAAAATTTAAGATATTTTTTTGGCCGGAATTTTTTTTTTATTATTCTAATTTACTCCGAAATTTAAAATTCAGTCATCGGAATCTTAAAATTAAAACTCAGATGTTTTCTAAAAAAAAGTTAGTTTTAACGTACGCGTATTTTTCATGATATTTTTTTTTTTTTTTACGTGGCCATATAGTGATGTTCGTGTCGTGTGAGTAAATAACGCGATTTATAAATTATTTTTACGTTTTCGAGAAGTTGCGCTACCTAAATCTCTAACATAATTCTTTGCAAAATAAAGTTTATCACGACTCAATTTGGTATATAATAGTAATTGATTATTTCATATTTGGATAATTCCACGAGATATAAATACAATTTTTCAAAAATTGGTTGATCAAAAAAAAAATTTTTCTTTCTTCTTTCTCTTCGCTTTTTACTTTCAAGAGAGAGAAAAAAAAACTTTGACGATAAAAATGACTAAAAGGTCCGGTACAGCGCGTGTTTCACCTGAAGAACGTATAATATTAAATGTTAACGGGATAAAGGTAGTTTAAATTTATACAGTATATAATTTTTTTGTTTATTTTATTTTAATTTTTTTTTTTACACGTGTTATAAAGTTAAGAAAAATTTATTCTTTGTTTTACATAAGTATGAAACTTATCGATCAACATTAATTGCGTATCCCAATACTCTACTTGGGACCATGTTTCAAGAACGTAACCGTAATCTTCAACACCCGAATAAGGATGGGGAATACTTTTTTGACAGAAATGGGAAAGCCTTTCATTACGTGATGGAATTTTATCGTACGGGTCAAATTCTTTGGGATACTAAAACCGTACTTGGAATAAAAAATGGAACCAATGTGACCAAGAAGGAGCTCGAGGAGGAGCTTGATTATTTTCAGATCAAACCAAAAGATGTTAGAATCGAATCGGCATTGACCTCAGCTTCAAGCATAGTGGACAAATTCATTCAAGCTTTAGAATCCTTGATTTTAAAACATGTATCTCAATTAGGAAAAACGATCTTTATCAATGCAACTCAAGAAACGGTTTTAGTTAATCGCGTAAGATATGAACCGGAAATTGACCCTATCGTCCTAAGGGCATTTAACTTTACGGCTTATCGTATATTAAAAGAAGTTGGAAATGAAATTGCTCAATACTTATATTCAAGTTTTCCTGATTTGAATATCGTTTGGAAAAGCGAAAGAAGTGATACCGATCCAAAATGTATTATAGTTCAGCTCACCTTTAATTATAGTTTAAAAATGATATTTGAAAATTCACAAGTTGGAAGGAAGAGACCTAGGATCAATTAATCATTTACGGGCAAGAAGCATTAATCTTTTTTTTTGCCTAATCAATGTGATCTAAATTCCGAAAATTTTTAATTCTGGTCAGTTCCTTTATATAATAACTTTGTCCAATACTAAGACAATAAATAAATCCAAAAACAACATTAAAAAAAAGTATCAAATATTATTTGGAGTGAAATTCACAATTTTTAAATTTTTATTTAATAATTTAATATTTAATTTTTTTTACTTAGATTTTTCAAATTTTCAATATATAAAATTATAAAATCATTAAAATCATCATTATCATGTATATATCCTATTTATATATACAAGTAATGTGAAATAATACAATTTTTTTTCTTTTTCTTTTTTTTTTTTTTTTTTTTTTTTTTGGTATTTAAAGCACAGCTTTAAAAACCACAACTTAATTTTTTTTTTTTTTTTGGTTTTTTTAAAAAATAAGGAATTATGATTAAAAAATTACAAAAATTTATATTACAGTATGACAATATGAGTAAATAATATTATGAAAGTGCAATTAAGGGAATAAAATTTGTATAATATATATGTGTGTAAATAAAATGGTAAATAAGAAAAAAATGCCAAATAAAATATGTAAATATATAAGTACAAGCTTTTAATAATTTTGTATGAACAATAGTAAAAGAAACATGTAAATAACAAACTATGCTGCAAGTCTAACTCCTAACGGTTCTGCTGCTTGCATGGGAAATAATTTACTGTTTTTGTAATTATTTTCATAAGAAAGTCCGTAAAAATTACTCTTTTTCTTTGGTATGGCTGGAATTTCTCCTTGTAGCATCATTTGACGTTGCGCTACAAAGCTTCCTGGAGTTGGAGCTGAATATTGTTCTTCGACTTCTTCAGTATAATATCCTTCTTGGTCATAATTATAATCACCTTTTTCATTATATTCTTGATCATTATAATCTTGATCATTGTATTCTTCTTGATCATTGTATTCTTGATCGTCGTATTCTTGATCATTATATTCTTGGTCATTATAATAATTATCCTCTTCCCCTTCCCAATATTCTTCTTGATATTCATTATATTGTCCATAATAACCTGGATCCGTATTATATCCATTTTCTCCTGTTGGATCATTTTCATAATCGTAATCATCCTCGTATTCATCATATTGATCATAATATTGACCCTCAACATATTGTTCTTCGCTCTCGTATTGCAACATTGACATCGTTTTAGCGCCATCATCAAATCCGGTTTGCATGATTGACTCTCGAAGTTGTGCTGCTTGATACGCAAAAGCTTTTGGATTTGTTGGTTTATTTTTGAATTTATAATTCGTTGTAACTAAGTTGTCATCAGGTCTTGAACGATCGAACATTGCCCAAACGGCCGGAAGAGCTGGCATTACACTTGAAGCGCAGGAAAATTTAGACATTCTTGAGGTCATTTTGCTAACGGGTCTTGATTTTGAACAACCTCTGACCCATGGGATACTGAATGTACTGAAAGTACTAAAAGCACTCATCTTTCTCCTTCGTGTATACGTTTTTGTTGTTTCCCATTCGGAGAATACTTGAGATTTTTCTTCGATCATAACCCATTCGCATTCATTTATCAACCCTTTTCTCGGTTCAATGAATACCCATTCACCCCATTTATCTCCCTGTTCTGCGGCTGTAGTTTCCATCCAAACATAAGGGAAAATTTCATCGATGGTTTCAATGGCTAAATGAGTTGTGACGGGTAAATCAAGTGCGCGATCAATGATATCCCAATCCTCCCAATCTTCTTCCGCATTGTCAAACTCAATTTCCCTAGGAGTTGATTCAAAAGATCTGGCCCTTCGAGGTTTCAAAGAACGGAATTTAACCATTTTCTTTCGACTTTTACTATTCTTTCTTGAATTACTTTCAGCGGAAGGAATGATAACTTTTCCTATCGTTTTTTCCTTCTCCAGATTCTCTTTTTCGCTTTGGGTAATTGAATTGATTGTTAAAGTAGTTGACATATTACCATCGGAATTTCGGAAACCTTTCTTTGAGAAATCATCCCATACAACAGTTTGACGCAATGTGACACCAGAGACACCAGAATCATTTCTTGATAAAGAGATTTCTTGATTAGAACTTTGCTCTTTCATTGTCTCACTTGACCCGCGTTCAGAAACATTATCTTTAGGTAATGGTTCTACGTAAACACTCTTGAAACCTTTTCTTGAGAATTGACTCCATTGTTTTTCACTTATGTTGCTATTTGTGTCTCCCGCGGATCTGTCGTCAAGTGAAAAGAATAACTTCAAGAATTCATCAGACATTGCGGTAATTCCATTTTTTTGAAATTCGCTCCACATTTCTTCAGCCGTTTGTTTTTCTTTCACGGTCATCATGGTACTTGGACGAACTATTGTTTTACGTTTCATACCGTCCATAATGTCAGGTAATAAGGTTGTAAAATTTCTCGTTTGTCTCTTGGTTTCAGATTTTGTCGTTGGAACTTGTCGGGTCACTCTTAAAATACTTATTGGCCTTGCATTTGAAGAGGTCATCGTCGTTTTGACTTTTTCAGTTATTTCGGTTGTCTCGGCAAATGTCACGATCGAACGTTTACGAGGCCTATTAATTTGTTTAGGTGTACCATCCAATTCAGCTATTGTAGTATTTTCGGGTAAAGGCATTTGAAAGTAGGCAGATGTAACGGATTTCTTTCTATACTCCACATAATTATCCAGTAATACAGTTAATCGAGGATTCAATTCAGTTGAAACAGATTTCTCTCGTAAATAAGCTAAGAATAAATGATGACACGCCGCGGAACATTTCGCCCATTCATCATAGGCAGAACCAAAACTTAGTAAACTTTTATCTTGATCACCAAGGATGCAAAGTGCTATTGTCTTTACAAGCCTTTCAGCAGACATTTTATTTATATGAGATTCCGCCGTTACTTGGGCGCAAATATCAAATATATCACATAATATGACTTGATTTTGTTTTGGTAAATAATTTAAAAATTTATTAAAAGAACCTTTGCTTGGATCATAATCCCATTCTATTTCGTTATGTAAAAAAAAAAAAAAAAAAAAAAAGTTAATAACGGGAAAAGAGGCGCAGTATTTTTTTTTTCGTAGTCGAAAAGTCAAATCTACCTTGTTCGTATCTGACAAATTCATCATAATATTCGTAAGGAACTAGTATCGTATTGCAATGCCTAAGGGCCCATTTCATTGCCGAAACTACGACGTGAATATTTTGAGATCCGATTTTATCTTCATATTCCGTTCGACTGTCGCATAACAGGCAGCTTATGAGATCTCGGACCTCATCCACGCTGTCACCAATGCGAATTGGCTTGAAGATGTCGACTTCATGTAAACCTCGACTTCGTATTTCATCAGAACATCTCTTTACAATTAAATGAGCCTCCTCCAAAGTAACCATCTTTGCGACATCACGAGTTACTTCCCTTGAGGACAAATTTTTTTTTAAACTGCTCTTTTTCTTTCTAACTTCGCCGCTGGACTTATTTTTAAACAGCGAGTGTTTCGCGCTGCGCAACATTTGTGTCGTTGGATGTGTGTAATAAATCTAAAAAAGGCTATAGATTGATCGTGTATGTAAAAGAATTCTTAAATATTTATGAAGAATTGACCAAAAATTGATTATTTATTTATTTAAGGATAGCGAAAAAAAAAATATATATCACTGCGAAGAGGGATTAATTTTGGATTATTATTATTATTTTTTTTTTTAGACGAATCTTCTTGCATTTTATATGTTGTTTCAGGGTTGAAATATAATTAATTTAAATAAAAATAAATAAAGTAAAGAATTTGTGTTACATTTATTCTTTGTCGAAAAAAAAAATTTTTATTATTTATTCTAAACGTCTTAAAAAAAGGTAAAATGTTTTAATACATACATGTGTGTCACCAAATAGTTTTTTTAAATTCTATATCTAATTTGTCCCCAAACATATTGTAGTACCGTTTTAGGTTTTGCATCAGACTTCTCCATATTAGATCACTAATTAACAATAACATCAATAACATCTATATATGAGCCGATCCTTTTAAAAAAAAAATAACGAATTATATTTGTCTTTTAACGCTTGATATGTAGTATAAACTTCGGTGGGAACTGAAACATGTCTATTGGTTTCTGCTTTTTGACTTGGAAATCCTTAGAAAAAAATAATCACTAGTATCATTGTATAGATAAGATCTTATAATAAGAACTAGGTAATTAACTTCAATTATTTATTTATTTATTTATTATTTTTTTTTTTTCTTTTCTTGCATTTCTCGCATTTCTCACTTCCTTTTATATATATGTTATTTTTTTTTTTAGATACATTTAAATGAGATATAAATAATCAAAAAAAAATCGTGAGTTCGTAAAAAAAAAAAAAAAAATTCTCTTTTTTTTTTATGGATTATGTTTACCCTTCACCAATGTAATTGATAATTTTAGACGTGAGTTTGTTTATGTAAAGAAAAGCGAATTGAAAACTTAAAAAAATCCCGACTCATGACATTGGATTGTGTAATGATCCGATTCATTGTACAATTGGGTTGAGATGATACATGTCTTCGTTCCTTAATTTCATTCACCTGAAATTCAATTTTTTTTTTTTTTATCGTGGAAGAGGAGCGTACAAGTTACAAAATCTAATTAACGCAAATAATACGTGATTGACAAAAATTCGCAAGTCGCACCCTTTTGCTCAGCAAGTAATAGTGTAACAAGAGAAAAAAAATTACGTATCGCGGAATTATCGGAGCCTCCAAAAAGAAAAAAAAAATAATTTTTTTCTACACTTAGAAAATAGGTTACATAAATTAATGGATAAATAAACAAAAATACAATAATAATAATAAGGCATTCGAAACAAAGAAAAAAAAAAAAAAAAAAGAGAAACAGAACATATATATTTATAGAATTCGAAATTTTATTTATAGGAAAAAGTTCATTCCATAATTTCGATAAGGTTTAGGTCCTAGGTTTTTTTGAATTGAAAAAAAAAAAAATAATAAATGAAAAATTTCAATAAAAATAAATTTTCAAAAGGTATTTGAAAAATGAGGAAATGATTTACATACTGTGTCACGATCATTTGATTCAAAATATTATTTACTCCGTAAGGAGGCAATTTGATCTCTATCGTTCTTTTTTTGAGATCATTCAAGAACACATTTGTGAATTTTACTTATTTTGGTAAAGAATGTTCTTTTTTTTCGGATCAAACAATATAGATCAATCCTGGGATTACTGTATGAATGTATGCAGGGATCTACATTCCCACTTATTTTTTTCAATCGTCAAAAAAAAAAACTGTCCCTTTGTGTATTATAACAATGAATCTTTACTAAATTCAAATTTACCCGGTTATCAAATTAATCACAATGAGGGTTTGTTTAGTTTGATTGAAGGTGAGAAATTTTAATTGCTTGAGATTTTTTTTATTTATTTCAACCCCACGGGTAATTTTTATGATCAAATTTGAAAGCCCACGAAAAACAACAAATAGTGTGTCGTATCTCTCTCTCTCTCTGTACGCCGGCAAAAAATTCATTGTTTATTAACGCCGCTCCCCTGCATATTGTCAAAGATCTCTTTTTTTTTTCCTTCCTGCGCCAGATGCAATTAATTAACTAGGTTACTTGTAATATGATGACCGAATATGATGAGATCATGAAGTATCATACGTTGTGTAATATGAATTATTGACAGATTGATAAGAAATTCCATTGTCCGCTCATGGTTCAACGTACTGTCCGTCAGTTTCCGAGAACCGTAATTCCTGGTTTACTGGTTTTGCAAGTTAATCATATGCTGTGAGAGTGGCTTAAAACCTTAATTATGCAGGGTATTCATTTACTTCTAGGAAAATGTCGTAATAACATTTGAACGTACACCCTACCTAGTTCCAAACCTAGATGGGCGCAGCTTGCATATGATTGGATCATCTGATCGAGGTAATTCGGGAAAAATAAGTCCATTACTAAACAAATTCCATTATGTTTGAATTCAAACTTACCAAATATGATTCCCTTTTGATGTATGTGAAAAAAAAAGTTTGTGGCCGTGTAATTCGATGTTTGATATTTTTAGTAAAATTCGGGAACTTCAAAAAGAGCCTCTTTGTCGTTGAACATATATAATACCTTTTTTTTTCTTAATTATGGTAAGTATCACACAAATCTTACTAAGAAACGAGTTCATTGAGAACAATGCTTGATGCAAATCTGCTTAACGCTACGCTTGAAAATCAATTTGCACGATACATTTTTATATAATTAAGATTACGTAAAAGATCTGTCAAAAGATGGTCACCAGATCTCTGCACTTAAGGAAAAGAAAAAGACGGGAGCAAATACGAATTGAATTGTTCAAAGGGTAACCATGAAAGTTTAAGGGTTAAAAAGGGTTCTGATCCAAGATTTATTAACAATCTTAAGGAACGTACATTAGATTGGGCGAGATTACGAAATACGGGAATTCAAGCTAAAATAAATTGAGCAACAGTATAAACATATTTTCGGGATTAAAATTTTTAGATCACATCGATCGTTTTAAACGAACAATCGAGACCGATTTTATTTCATTACTGTATAAAAACATATGGGTAGAGAATCTTTTGACTGATTAATGCATGTTTTGTTTTAATGTGAAGAATTTAATCCTCAAAAGGTAATTTACACATGTAAAGATTTTGTCTCTTAGGGGTTCAGAAAGAGTGAGAGATTATGCGGGCATTGCATGAATATTTTTTTTTTTTTTTTTAAAAAAAAAAATGATGATAATAATCTCAAAAGATTCTGATTGTTTTTTTTTAAAAAAAAACATACATAAATAAATAAATATAATAAAAGCGTTTGCTGCGCCATGCGAATAAACACAAAAAATCAAACAAAAAAAAATTAGTTGTGAAACCCATTTATTTCAGTTACATTCGATCATTCGTTCCACGTTTAAATTACAGTATACCAAATAAAAACAAATTAATCAAAAGAAATAAATTAAATAAAAAAATTGAAAGAATTTATTTCATGCAAAAATCGACCGACTATTTAACGGAACCTAATATGTCATGTATATCAGGGAGTGTTAATTATAAACAAATAATTTTCACATTCTGAACAAATAAGTTTCCCTTAAAATAAATTTGTTTTTATTATGATATGCAAGGTGACAATTCAAAGCACAAACGATTGGGTTTTTCATGATTATTGCCATAATAAGCCGCAGCATCAAGCATGTGCATAATACTTTATTTCAATATTTGCACTCTATTAGGATTGCAGACTTGCCTAAAGAGGTCCATTAAAATGATTTGCCAAGTTGTTTCTGTTTTTTTTTTTAAAAAAAAAAAAATATATCCAATTATTCCTAATTTGGTCGACTAATCAAAAAAGCTTTCAACCTTAAATCGGGAAATTAAAAGACGTCGCTATAAAATCGAGAACAATCTTATTGTACATAAATTTTGATGTGGGGTAGAATTTCATTTATTAAATAATTTTTAAGTTGCATAATAACGCAACTACTTTCATATTATGTATGCTCTCATTTAGCCTTTTTGCACGTTCAGAAAGAAAAATGTCTCAATAAACCTTTATTAGGTTTAACATTTCCATAAATTAACCTTTGTCTTGTAATCTTGGTTCAATTTTCATTACTCATTACGCCCATCATCATAATCGATTGCTTAATATATTGTTTCGGTCACAAGCCCTCAGCAAAAATTCAACTGAAATTTATTTGTCTCATAAACAAAAAAAAAAAAAAAATGTACACATCCCGAAATTATCATAATTTAGGCTATGCCGTCGGAACTTGACGTTTAGACACCTAAATTTTGCCAGACGCATGATTTCACTTGTTTCATACATCGGACAATCGTTTTCTTTACCTCTGATAGGACTTGTAATAATAATAACAAAAATAACACATTAATTTTCATACAACTATAAACATTGCTTAATAATTTTGGCAAAATAAGAAATTAATTTTTACCTTGCCTTGTTTCGTTGAAATTGGTTGAAGTTGAGCACATGGATGACCGTGCAGGTTTATTATTGTTAAGTTGCCTAATCAGAAAGCGAGTTAATTTTAGTTCTCATTTCAACTACTCTCAGAGACGGATCATGCCACCGCATACTTTTTGAATCAAAATTAGAAACTCGACTTTTAATTTTAAGTCATGCGATGCATTCGCTCTTTAGATGCCCCAAAACCATTTCTTTGATAAGTGTATCTTGGCCTTTTTATTTTGTTTATTGTTTGCATGATTAAGATTAAAGTTGCAAATTTCTAGAGGTAGGTACTGTATTTTTGGAAGGAGAAAACGAAAACAATATTTTGATGATTTTAAACATTCAAAAATGCCAAATTTGGTAATTCCGGCCGAATCTTCAAAAGAGGAAATATTCCAAAGATATGCATTTGCAGGTAATTTCTCATTAGTGTTTGAAAAAAAAAATATTTTTTAAAGGTAACGTCATACATATTAAACAAAATCACTTAGTCTTGTCAAATTTTATCTTATAAAAATATTTTTAGTATCAAAATTTAATCTCGTTAATCCGTTAACGTTAAAATGTATTTGGTAGAAAGATTGATTCTTTGATTATTGCGATCCCTCTTATGTAGAAAAAAAAAATATAATCTTGAAGCCAAATTCACCAATAAAAAATTTAATTGCGCTATCACGTGATAAAATGCATTATGGTAAACTTCCAATTTTATTCATAAAAAATAAAAAAAAGCAGAGTCGAACGTGAATGAAATTTTCTAGTCAATATATGAAATTTTCACGAATTAGGGTTCAAATTTTAATTCCGGCCAAACCACATCAGTCAAGTGCAACTTTAATTAATTTCAATAATTTTGAATTTCATTTAAAAGTTTTGTAAATAACATCAGAAGTTTCATATAGTTATTTCATGGATTACTCATCATAGTGGCGCCATCGTAATGTCTCAGATTTTTATTTTACTTGATTGATGTGACTGTAAAAACTTTTTGAACCTTACTCATTCTTATCTTGCACAATGCACAATAAATATTTATTCTTCTATTTTCTTTTTTAAATCAAACGTAAAAAAAAATACTTTCCCCTAAATATAATACCACTTTCTCAACTTCAAATCAGAAATGCCAATAAAGTGTTAATGATATTGCTGAACGTATCGCGTTATAAAAGTAAATTTGATTATACTCGAAAGTTTCTCCCTTTCGATTATCAAAAGTTCCATAAATGAAAAAGAAAGTTGATTATGAATATTTGATGATTTTCTTTATCATTCACATATTCAAGTTATGCGACATGGCTTTGGTAAAATCGGATAAAAGTAATTCTAAAAATTTTTAAAACGTGTGAAGGGGAGAATCATTAGTGCATCAATTTAAATCTGATGGAATGATGACTTATATATGTCATAAAGTATTCAAGGAATTGATAAAATTAATAAAAATTTTCATATTATGAACGCATTTCATCTTCATCAAGCAATTCAAAATCCTAATTTTCAAATGTTTCATATTATTCTTCATGAAAAAGCAAATTTTAAAAGCTTATTTCGCAGTTTAAAATCATACTACTCCCGTGAAAATATGGGTAAACCATGTATTCTACTAAATGTTTTATGTATATTTATAAAAGATTTTTAGTTTAAAAGTAATTAATAAAAATTTATGATATATTATACTAGAACGTAAAATTAATAAAAATCTCCCATAAATTTTATGACATGATTAATAAAATTATGATTGAGACCGACTATTTCTTCAAACAACTATCTCTTTCACGTAGCACTTTTTTTTATTTCAAAAATCTACTGGATAATAAAAAAAAAGCATGAAATTATTTTTTAGATTATTGAATGTTAGCTACTTGGCAAAAGTGATCGGTATTCCGAAACGGAGCGAACTTTGAAAATTTTTTAATGTAGTGAGAGATTTTGCATAGTATATCGCTACATGCTGTTGGCTTGGTATCTGTAAGCTTAAACGATTAACTTTTAATTCAATCCGTCGAATTAAATACAAAACAATATCACAATCACGCCTATATGAAGACACGACAAAAGGTAATAGCAAATGAATTTATAAGATTCTTTTATTGAACTCTTGGTTTATCCTAAAACCCTATCTCGAGTTACTTTTCAACTCAAGGGAAAATACAAGATATTTATATAAAATAAAATACTATGAAATATAATATAACAGATATAATATAAAAGATAAAATAAATAAATAAGATAAATATAAATACTCTACTAACTAAGATATAATTAACAAATATAACGATTATAATAATTATAACTAATCTATCTAATACGTTAAATAGATCAACGATGACCACTTTAGCAACTTGGTCTAATTTATCCACTTCGTCAACTTCGTTATCATTTTTTAAATTGTTTGACTAAATTTCTTTATATCCTCTATACTAATTCCATCTGGACTAATATCATGAGCAGGAAATACTATTGTAATTTCACTTTCCATTTGAGATATCATCTTTATAGATTCCTTATTATCCGATACAACAGAAGAAAATGGAATTATACTGAGTCTCTCATTAAAAAGGGCAGGCAGATAAGAAAAGTTGGCAATTAAATCTCCTACTAAAACACTATTCGTTGGGACATGTAAATATGAAAGTGATCCTTTTTGAAGGAAAAAAAAAAAGGTTCATAATTGAGAATACATGTATATTGTTAAGAAAACTTTGAGCATAAATTTTAAAATATTGCTTTACCAGGTGTGTGCCCAACCGTAAAAATTGGTTTCAAAATATCATAAAATTCGAATTCTTGTTCGCTACCTTTTTTAATAGAAACAACCCTATCTTCACTTCCTAAAGCTACATCACTTTCTCTACCAAAATATTTTAATATCTGAAAGAATAAAGTTTCTCCATGAAGTTCATTGTATTTCTTTCCATGCACAACGAAAGGAACTTCGGCATCTCCCATAACGACTTTGGCATCTTTATATTCATCTAATAATCTGAGTAAAGCTCCTGTATGATCAAAATGACCATGAGTTATTGCTATATATTTTAAGTTGTAACCGGAAAATGATTTGAAATGTGATTCAAGTGCTTTTGTCAGTTTCGATACATTCTCTGGATCTACAGCGTCAATTAAAGTCCAATCATTGATATGAGGTATGTGAATCAAAAATACTGCCACAGGACAGTTAATACCTAGCAGTTTTAAAGAAAATGTTGCACGATAAAGATTTGGTTTAATTTCAATGAATTTTTCGTAATCACGAAGAGAAGTTATCGGAGACATTTTTTGATGCTCATTATTTTTGGGAAAATGTCAGCCCATTAAAATATTTGGGGTTTTACTACTTGCCCTTTATAGAAAAAACTGATTTCATCATTTACACACCATTCAAATAATGAAAATGAGATCGCATTCACGTGATCGTTACGCTAAATACGTAAATTTCATTAACTCGATAGAGGAGCAGATCACGTGTATCCACGCAGAAATAGGCTCATCAAAGATAACGTGCCCAAATAATTGATTTTCTTTCGTCTCCAACTTTCTCGTGTTGAAAAAAAAAATATGTCAGTTTATACGATGACATCCGAGGAAAAACGTCTTTCACCTAATGAAGAGTTAAAAGACATTCCCTATTCTAGGTATTGTAATCTACGGCTTCGTATAAAATTTCAAATTTCTAAATTAATATTTATTTAGAGTATCTGAAACCATAATAAAACCGACGGAAGAACGAGAAGGTAAAATATATGCGTATATTTTTATATATATATTACTTTTGTTAAAAAAAAAGTGACTAATGGTGAGCCTAACGTTCGCATAAACGTTTTAATTTAATTTTATAGAAGGGTTTTTCGACGAAACTTCTCTCTCACCTACAGAATTCAATGCTTCTCTTCTATCGACGATTAAAAAATCAGAATCGACTTTAAATAATAATACCGCTGGAAAGCTCAATGAAAAATACGCGACGATGCAGGTAATGGTAATGATATGGTTTTTATATATCTATATATTTTTTAAAATAGAAGAGGACATTTAATATGTATTATTCTACGAAATACAGCATAAAATGACGCAGATGGCTCGTGAGATTGCTTATCCAAAGACCAGGTCTACACGAAATTCAAAAGTTTCATCGCGTAGCAAAATCGGTACAACTCGGCAAGATGAACAATCAGAGATAGCAAATCCATTTCTCGTTGATCAATCTAGTATGAATCTTACGGTCGGCAATTTAATGAACAGGTGGTCAGATTCGAATATGGAAAAAAAGAACTTGTCAAAGGATTCGGAGGTAGATCTACCATTGGATGAAATTGGAAGCTCTATTATCCTCGCGCGTCCACGGGCAACATTTATGGATGAGGTAATGTAATGTTATTACAATTTGGTTTTAAAACTTTAAATATTAACAACATATTCTGAAATATACAGCAACATGTTATCAAGCGGAAGCATGACAGTTTGGATTGTAAATCGTCAGAACCGTTTACTTCCAATATGACTCAAATCAACTTATCTTCATTTAAATCTACGACTCCAAATTTTCGTTGTGGACAGGAAAGTTCTTCTAATTTACAGGTTATACCCTTTAAAAGAACTTGGGCTAATTCTGCCCCAAGACCTAATCCGAATAATTGTAATGAATCAGTATTTAGCACTCCGGTTCATTCACCACAAGCAAGTTCCTTGCCGTGTACCATGAGAAAGCGTGCGCGACGTATTGCATCATTTTTGCCGTATGTTTCATTAGATAATGAGGATGAATTTGTTTTGCTGGAGCATCATTCATCCCCATCCCCATCCCCATCTCTGATTCTTAATAAAGAACTTTTGAAGGATGTTGATGGATATAATAATAATTCATTTGATGATGATGGATATTATCAAGTAAGTTTACTTTATGATTTTTATGTATGTACTTTTACATTTATTAAATAACATGGATTAAATACTTTTTAAAATTTTGGATAAAATCTCAGACTTCACCAAAAACTACTTCTGATACGAACATTTATAAACGGCAATTGTCACAACAACATTTAAGTTACGATGATGCAGCAAGAAGTCCTATTTTTACTGAAACTACTATAGAACCCTTGGATGAATTAGATGATTATTAAATAATCAAACTAAATGAGTAGCTCTTATGATAGCTGAATACGTATATACATTTAATGATATTATAATGAACACGTGATTACTTAGATTTTCAACAATAAACGTGAAACATGTAACAATTAATTAGAATGAATAATATTATTTACATTTTATGTGCTAGAATTTTTTTTTTTTTTATGCCGAAAGTGATTCTATTAAAAAAGCAATTTCAATTCATCAATAAAATTTTGTTTCTTGTCGAATCAATGAAATTGTGGAAATTACTTGCTTATGCGTTCTAATGGTTTTACATTCCTATCAAGTTATCTTCTAATCGGAAAATTCTCATCTGATTGTTGAAAAAAAGCGATCATCGTTAAGAAAGAATTATTAAAATTCCTAATGCAAAGTATTCACGTTCATTAACAATAGCATTCCCACTTTCTTCCCATGGTATTCGTAGAAGTTCTATAGAATGGGAATCTATCCGGAATTAGTTTGCATCGTCCGGATTTCGAAAACTTTCTCACATTCGGCACGAGTTTTGGTTATCATGAAATGTCCGGATTCATACCAACTGATATTAAAGTTTAAACATCAGCAATTGTTAGGATACCATTAAAATTACATAGCATTTAGACCTTGATTATTTTTACTCATCTTCTGATATTGAATAATTACGATCATGACATCTCATTTTTATATAAGTTTCGAACGAAACTAGTTTTCGCACAATTTGATCTCAAATATTTGGATTGGAGGTGTAGGTTCGCTCGAAACATGAGAAGCAGATATTTTCAATGATCGATAATTATTATCGAACGATTGATTCTCTTGATTTTTAAAGCTTTGAGAGTTGTGTAGTTTCCAAGGGTTCTACTAATATGTATGGATACAAAATAGGTTGGTTGATATTTCAAATGAGGTTTACATAATTTGCAGAACATACATTATACGTCTCACATAATAGGGTTGAAGGATTGTGCGTCATTATACACCATTTAAATCAATGGTTATGGTAAAGTTGCCTTCTATTCCACAATTCTGAGCCGAACTTCCGAATGATTAGCTAAAACTCCCCACCAATCACGAATATCACCAAAAATAATCAAAATCACAATTTCTTTACTCATATTTACTGTTGGCATTGGCTTGAATTCCCCATTAATGGGTTAATTGATTTTCAAAACGATGAGCCTAATAGTTAAGGTAAAATTTCTTGAACATGATGTCAATGACAATAAAAAAGACGACGGTTTTAAGCTGTTGGATACTTGTTATCGCAAAGTATTTACGTGAAGGAACAATATTTTTTTATCCGAAAAGAGTTGTTGCGTTTATTGGTTACATAACAAGGTATTGTTTTTGTGGTAGTTATAACGGCCAATCATATCTGGATTCTATCAAAATAAACTATCTCAACTATTCAGGATATAAATTAGTTATTATCCCATTAATTGCGTAACTTCAAAATTTCATTTATTTCAAGTGTACTTGCACTTAGATAAGTTTTACAAATTATTTCTATTAAGCCTTAATAATAATGAGAACATGGTCTCACATCTTTAATATGAGCTATTAATAAAATAGAAACATTCCACATGTTTTTTCAAAAAGTAAATATAAACGAAGTGGATATATAATGTTTTATAGTGAGGCGAAAGTGAAGTGTTAAAACCGTTAGAAATTTTAGTTTTATTCGATCAAAAATCACCTTATCATGAGAAAAGAAATTAGATAGAAATAAGAAATAACGAAAAAAGCAAATTATAAAATATCACGCTTTATGAGATTTCAACCGGATTGCTGGCTTTCGTATTTACTTAAATTATATAATTACCCATACTTTCTATTACCATAGAAATTATTTCATTTTTAAAATCAAATTTCTCTTACTAAATATTGTAAACTAACAGCTCGAAGTTATATAATTATATAATTATTTAAATTAATTATTTTTATTTTTATTTTATTTTTGTTATTACGAAAACAAGTTTCAAAGTTAACTATAATACCGTAATTTTTGTATTTGACATGAAGTACCGATACAAAAATGTTTCTTGAATTCCGAATCACAAATCCAAATCCAAATTTGATTCCTAATATTATTAGCGACCTTATAGGTAGCGGTAATTATTCGGCTCGAAGTGAAGGATAAGTAATTTATTCAGTAATCATTTAAATTTATTTTTTTTTTTTTTTTTCTTACCACGAAATAATTTCTTTCTCAAATACTTTACTCATTAAATATTCAATAATTTTAATGGAAAATACAAATTTTAATAATATGTTTATAAAGCTATAAATTGTAAAAAATAAATTAAAGAAAATATTTGTATTATATTAAATTTTTACCAATCACTGTGATTGAGCGGTAACCTAATATAATTTTCACTTTCTCTACTCTCCCTAACAATTAAAAATGTAATCAATAATACACTATTTTAACACTGCACTTTAGCTATGTAAAGTAAATTCATTGATAAAAAATTTCCAGAACGATTTTCAAATGATCTATCCCAATATTACGAAACATTGATTTTTTCAGAAATTCAACTACAATAAATATCGGTGGAGTTAATATCAATTTATAAATAAATGAGAAATAGTCTGATTTATTTTATAATTTAACATTAAAGTCGATTATTTCTTCACAATTGCGATTAATTTATTAACCTACGCAACCCAAGCTCGAAAATTATTAAATAAATGCCATAATATTTACCGGTATTAAAATATCTAAGCAGAAAATCATTTTTTTAAGCGTTTTACAAACAATTATTTATTTTTATTTGAAAAACCATAAGTAGTGATGAAATTTATATGTATTTATCTTTTAATAACTTTAAATACCTCATAATCATCTACTTGAAATTTACCATTTGGAATATCAATTTTAGTATAAGTATGTGGGTGGCCATTGCTATACCAAGCACTATTACCAATACAACAAATATCACAACCACCACCGAATACTGGACCGTTACTTTGATGACAATATATAGCATTATGAGCTTGATTATTTATGATATAACCTACTTTTGCAGTTTGAAGGTTTGTTCTATTTACGAATGAGAAAATAAAACTATCCTTAGTTGACTTATAAACACCGCTTTGATCCCAATAAAGTGGGTTATATCCTCCAATAATTTGTTCAGTTCCGTTAATTTTTACTATAACGATAGTAGCCCCTTTGTTATCACATGTTTGATGAAATGCTGCAATTGTATTACCATCCCTACTGTTACGATAAAGTAAATTAAACTGATAGGGAATCTTTTTTTCATTGTAATGTAAATTTTCTTTCTTATCGATCCAACTGGAAAATATGGCAAAGTGATGAGGTTTAATTAAAACTGAATCGTAAACATTTTTTGACTGTCTTGGTGGTTGTATCTCGATATTTATTTTCTTCTCTGGTGCCAAAGAATAAGCAAAGAGGTTAATAAACAAATCCCTCGGTAGTAATTCTTTAAAAGGAAGCACTTTTTCGAGAAAATCTCCTGAAGACATATAATTAAATCTAACTAAAGGAATATATCTATGTAGAGTTCTTTCCATGATTACAGTTTCTTCCTTGCTCCATTTATTGACATCTTTAGGAATGGACGGGTTCTGACCAAATCCCCACTTAATCAAACTATCCCAAATATCAATTTCATCTAAACTCAAATCATCCCGTTTCAAAAGTAATTCCAATAAAGGAGCTTTTATACTGATAAATTTATCAGAATTAAATATCTCTTCGGGGTCTTTACAAATGTTGTCAAGATAAAAATTCCGTAATTTCGTAAAGGACTCATTTTGATAAATTGTTTCAAGAATTTCTATAGGATTTTTTTGTAAAAACTCATGATGGACTTTAATTAAATATTCTTCAATTCCGGGAACTAAAATTTGGAGATTAAGTGTACTTGCTGCTTTTAAGAGCTTTAATAGTTCAGTTCCTTCTAATTTCATCAAGTCAACATTTCCACAATATATAAATCTGAAATTCAAATGTTCTATTAAAATTTATTTTCGCTAGTATTCGTACATATTATTTCATTTATTTACCTTAAAATAATTTTAAAAATTTTTGGAGGAATATTGGGTACTTTTAAAACAAATTTCCCTTCCTTTTTCTCAACGTTTTCCTTGGTTAATTCATCATAAAAATACTGCGACCTGAAACATAAAATATTTGAAAGAGCATGTAGTTCTTTAACGCTTTCATTTTCACCGGCATAAATAATGACATCATATCTTTTGTCATTTTCAAGTAACCTTTCATAATCATTAACAGCTTCCTGCAAATATTCTAAAGTCATTTTTAACTGAAGGTTAAAAAATTAAAAAAAAAAAAAAAAAAAAAATTGAAGAGGAAAATTATATATTAATTTGGAAACTGGTAAATTTCATTTAGCTAAAATAAAACATTGCATAATTTGATCTTAGAAATTTCCCATGTAAAATTTTAACAATAAATTAATATAATTATTTTTACCAACACCAAGTGAAACATTTTCGATTACCACGGCAATATTTTCTTTACAACTATTTTACAGGATTTTAAAAAATCTGGTTCACAAATACATTCATGAAAGATCAATTCAAATACTTTTCTGTGATATCAGACCACAAACTGGTATGAGCGAAGCAATTGCAATGATTAAGTTTACCTCGAAACGTTTCCACTAATTTTATTTATTTTATTTATTAAAAAAGAATGAATGAGAAGTCACACGCGAAAGACACGATAAAAAATTATATAAAGATTCCTAAATTTTAATTAAAAAATCTGTACCGTCAACAATTTTTGTAGTTAAAAGGGATATCCCAAATGCGCATTTCGGACATTAACGCATTTGGGATACAACAGATCTAATAACTTTCGATCTTTATTTAAGTTTGGACATAGCAGCACACTAAAAGAAATTTTCAAGTCGCTTATTTTTTTTTTTTTTTTTTAAAAAAAAGAAAAATACAGATTTTCACAACGAAATATAAATTGTTTTTCCTATTTTTGAATTTTCGAGAACCA